CACTTCCACTAGTCGATACTTGAGAAAATGCAGCAATACACAGCGCCCAACGCCCCGCACACCCCACATACCACCCCCACTCGTTACTTTCACGGCTGCGTACTTCGACAAGCACTCAGTTAGCCACAGGCAAACAGCCGCCCGAATGCTACGGGGAAAAAGCTCACTGCTCCACGCATGGGCCCAACTGACCCACTTCCCACTGGCGCCCCGGCGCCCACTCGCAGGCTCCACCGGCGGAACGGCACCACACGATCCACGACCCGTACGGATAAGGACCCCCCGCGCACCGAGAGCCATCCACCACGCAGAAACTATGAGGACTCACAACAGAAGATTCCATTCCACGTAACAAAAAAAGCCACAACCAACCGGTGACGCAATGCACCAGCCACGCACTGCGCACGATAAGTCCAACCACCACTTGGCGCGAAGACACGGATAGGCGACCGACAAACGTCACCATTCATACCCCGTACCCCTAAAAAGACACACGCAACAAGTCCTCACGGCACAGCCAACAACCTCACAGTACCAGCGCCCTCCCCAAGCACGGTGACCACCTCCCCGCCAAAAGCGCAACCCGCCAAAAACGGCTCGAGCAACCGCGCCATCGACCCACTCAGCACCACCGCACGTCGCTCTGAACTAGACCCCACCGGGCGCGCTCCCACACGTCGAAGAGCCTCAAACCGTTCCACAACCTGACCGCGCAAGCACTGCCTCCACCACATCACAGACCACGATGAGGCTGCAGTTCCAAACGGGTCCCAAGTCCCACCAATGAGCCACAGTAACGCCAATTCCACGGGCCAAGACCCCACTGAAGCCGGGCACCCGCCCACTCGTTCGCACGCCGACGAGGCGCCACGCTTTTTACGACGATTCCCACCACACAGAAGGTACCCAACGAGCCATAGAGCTATCAACGCGACACGTTTTTCCTATAAACAATTCCACGCCAACTACGAACACAGCCCACCCACGATCTGCCTACCAAAAAAGCGGCCCAAGAGCCACAGCCACAACCGCAACCCTGCCCGACCGCCTCATCGACAGCGCTCCGACTCATCCTGATGCAAACACACCCGCTCGAATGCCGATCTCCACACGCGCATCTCTCTGCCCAAACGACGCCCCGCACACCCACGGCTTCTCCCCACTAGACGTACCTTCGACATCACCACATCTCCAGCAACCAGCGCACAACACGTGCCCCCACCAACAACGCGAGCACACCTGCTCGCCGTCTGAGGAGAACTCGTCAAAGAGCCACACACCGGCACAGACCACTTCCCCGTGACCCCTACTCAGTAGAGGCCACACCAGCCCACAACTCGCACACGACTATCACCCCGCCACCCACGGGGGCCACAAGACCAACCACAAACCGCCCCGCAACCCCAGGGGCCGCAGCCCGAGTGACTCCACAGCAACAACCGGGAGAACCGCCGAAGGTCCCACCTAGCGGTATACGCGCGCCACGGCCAGTTAAGACACACCCGGAGGCGCCTCGGCACTCGGCACATACCACACAGCATTCCTAATTGGGCTCCACACCACTTTATTACCCAACGAACCAAAATACTGGGATTCCACTCCACACTAGGCACAGTGAGAACCAGGCACCGCATGTACAATAGCGCACCGAGGGCATCGACCATCCCTCCGGTCCCACCGCACCCGCCCGCCCTCACACTTTGAACGCCGAGACACAACCGATCCTTCCACAGTGTAATGCTGGTCACACAGCCAACCAGCCCCCACGCAGAACTTTCCATACATGACCGGACCAACCCATCTCGCCGCAAACACCACGCGTGGCAGGCAAGAACCACGCCAACTGACAGTTCAGTGTAGCCACGCCTTCCATCAACCACGGGAGCCGACCGCCCGAAGCAGTCGCGGCCGACATACCCAACACCACAGCAACCAACCACACGGTCACCCACGGCGAGATGTACGCACCACACGGACGCGGACAGTCTAGAGCGACCACTAGGCTGACACCAACGGGTTATTAGGCTCCCAGTACACGAAGTTATATGCTAGTACCGACACTGCCACGCAGTGACGACCACACCTCCAGACGACCAATCGGAACGCTCTCCTTTCCATCATCGAGGGACCACCGCCACAATGATGACAACGGTGTGAGCGCCACGTGGAGGACTATACACGGCAGAGCAAACTACGAAAGCTTACGGCAGCCCAGCCCGCGCACCGAATCGCACGGCGTAAAGCAACCCACACCAATCCAAAAGACAACCACAGTCACGATCGACGTTGTGACATACTTGACCCACACTGAGTCCACACCCACACTGCCACCGCGCCCACAAGGTGAACCCCTGCAGAGCCGCGCTACACCCCGTCACGCGCAACCACTTGCAACCTTCTACGCCCACGTCACCGCGGGCCGCCGACACAACGCCGATGGGTCCTCCTGTGACAGACCACCGTTGAGGCCCACGGAACACACCGCCGCAGCCCACCACCGACTAGCGCAGGCTACCGCATGTTACCACGCAGCATAAGGACCAACCGTTGACAAGAAGCCTTCGCAGCACCCGGCCAACCACTGTTCCACACACGCCACCCGGAGCCTACACACACTGGTACAGGCAACGCACCACGCCGCAAGACCCGGCCAACTCACCTGACAGTGGCCAACTTGTCATAAAGACTGACAGCGACGGTCTCGAGTGGGACACGTAAGCCACAACAAAAGTCACAACGAGAAACGGGGTACACGTAGCCACCGAACCGTACAGCGCCGGCACAGCGACACAACCTGGGCGTATGCCGTGCCAGTACACAACGCACACTGCAGACACACCCACGAGAACCACGCCCGCATTCCACACACACACGCCACTCTCCACTCAGCCAACCGGCTGATACGGACACCCTCCACCCGCGCCACGAGTCTCCCCCAAAAACGCCAGACCCGTGGCCTCTGGCAGGCCCACTGAGGAAAGAGGGCCCCACACCACGGCCACACCACAAAACATTGCGACACCAAGGACCGCGAGCGAAGCCAGCCACTACTTCTTCCCCTGAAACACCACGCCAAGACGGGTCGAGGGGCAGGCAGGGCAACTTGACGACTACAGTCCGCCGGAGCCAGACACCGCGTATAACCGACTACCCACGAGACTGAGCAATCCACCTACCTGACGCTCCGCGGAGGGAGTTCATTCCCATACATAGAACGCCCCACAAAAACTGGAAGATGTCCCTTAGGAGTTCCACGCTCTATCGGCCCACATGCACCTACGAGGCCATCCATCGGCCACGAGGGCGGCCTACGCTGCAGACACAGGTCAGCTATCGAGGTCACCACACCCCGAATCTAACTATTCCGCGGCACATGAAGGAGTGCCCCCCCCAACACCTGAATGATCCAGTGCGTAAAACGCACACCACCCATACCACAAACGATATCACACCTGCATACCCGGCCACAGCGGGACAACCACAGCCAGTCCAGCACTAGTTATGCTGCAAGTGGTCCACGTGCCACCGGATACAGTGCACACAGGACATCGCTAGCCGTCACTTCCCGGACATCTGGGTACCAGCCAACCCGAGAAGCGCGAATACTCAATGGCGTCCAGCACGTGGGGGTTCCACCACAGGCCGCAACCGCCACTGCACGCCATCCCCTCGTCCAACCGAACACGCGACGGCCACACAGCAGAGGTGCACGGTCCACACAACCCGGACGAGTCTCAAGCTGGTCAGACCGCCGTAACCAACGGCCCCCATCCCCCCACTGGCCAAGGGCCACCAGCCATCCAACCCCCAGCGGAATGACCACCAGAGCCACGTTGAGCCACGGAGTCCCAGGCCCACATGGAACAGGGGGGAAGGCCAAGCGGACCTTGATACGCGACCACAGGACAGGCGACCCCACAGCGTGGGACCACGGACCCACAACACCGATCCCTCGAACGGGGAACCACGCAGTGGATACTCGTCCTCACAGGTGCAAACTCTCAAGTTATGCTCCACGCAGCCAACGATGTCAGCCACCCAGCTGGAAGCCAATCCCGGATACAGGCACGAGTGGACTTAGCCCAACTCGGGTGGAAATGCCTGCGGCGCCGCTGTCGCACCACGAACAGGGGCGACGACCGGAGGTTTCCACCGACACGGCCGCCCCTGTGGTACGGCAGCGACGGCTGGCACGTGCGGGAGAATCGGGAGACACTGCCACATACCCTGAGGCGCCCACTTGACAGGGGCGGACCGCAACAGCCGTCACCACAAACCAGCGGGCGTAGGTGGAGCCCGTCGGATGGTGGTGCAACCAGGTGGTTCCGGTTACGTCAACCGCCGTGTGCGCGACCCAGGGACGCTCACGCCAACACCTGGGCTGACTGTGGGGTGACGCCAAGACGGACGAGCCTGTGTGACCTCCCGACCCACCACGCCGTCAGGTGACGCCCAATTCTCGACGGCCACTTCCACATAGACGTTGTCACAACCACTTCCACCACGCCCAACCCGAACGAGAACCACAGCAGGTTCTCCACCGTCAAAGTATTGAGACAAGCGCACGCTTAAAGCCCCGCACTGCGGGATCGACCACCGACTGCCACGACGCCACGGCCACGCCCCCACGCGACAAGAACCAAACGTGGCGCGGGCCCACCAAGCGACTCTCCACGCTATGACCTCGTCCCGTGGCCCCCCCTAGTACCACTCCACGCCCCACTGATCCGGGCACGTCACCACACCAACGCCCGGCGAACGGCCACCAACACCGCACGGGTGGCACATCCACCAAGCTGTCCACGATGCCAGCGTGTGCAACCTAGGTTGTCTGTCCATCCCATAGGCAAGTTACCCCAGAGCGCGACCGGAAGGCAGCTTAGGGGGGACGGCGCTATCAACACTGGATTGGACCACCACGCCGGAGTCTCGCGCCAACGACCGCCCCCACACCGCCCACGCAGCACAGCCGGCCGGGTTTACAAAAACCCACAACGTTTATGGCGCAAGGACGACGGGGGGGGGGGCCACGGCGAATACTCGAGCACGGAGGGACTGTCACACCACCACCCGTCCCTGCCGACCGACGGGGTCGCATCGGGATCCAACGCAGGTTGGAGTTCCGCACCCAACGAGGTACGTGGTCGCAACAAGAGTGGGTCCCCCCCCACAAAACGGTGCCGCGGTGGTGGAATAGAGCACTATTGATGTGGGCGTCCAGCGACGTAGGGAGAGTCCACCCGCCCCCAACGGCCAACTGTGTCACACCACCACGAACACTACAGGGGGCAGGCCGGAGCAACCGGGCCCAACGAACTGCAACGTACTCACTGACAATACCGAACGAGAGACACTGATCCACCCCACCAACAGGGTCCGGGACTCTCACAGATCGCCCCCCCTGGGAATGTGGCACGCTGGCGGAACACTGCAACACCACTGTCACCACAGCACACGTAACCGATCCAGCGATCCAACCACCGTCCTCCAAACGATGGACAATGCCGCCCGTACCCCGGACCCACAGCAATCGGCACCTAACCTCCCCTAAGCCCAACCACGTAGCACGGTGGGAAACCTCCGGCACAGAACTTGAAAGTATCCCGTAAGAGTCGCGAGTCAACGTCCATCCATTACCAACAGCGGGGTAGTTGCACTCGGACACTGTCACGGTCTTCCAACGGAACTGCGTTGGACCGGACGCCATTCGTCAATCTCACTGACACAAGCACCACGGTCTTGCTCACAACGAGGCCATCACACCACCAATTCCAAACTGCCACTAGGCCTCCACAGTACTCCAACGCCCTTTCTGAACACCAACGCACAACCCCACCAATGCGAACAAACGACGGCGACGCATCCATACGACGATAAGCCCTCAGCCCCTCACCCGACAGGCACGCACGAGCAACCCACAGGACCTCCACCACACTAGGCGACTATGAGCGCAGCAACCACGCACAAACGCGGGTTCCACCCGGTGCCCCACGGCCCGCGCTACGCCACCGAGGCTGGCGAAAGAAATAATGCAGGATACGCCGGTAACGACACGTGTCCAACGGGACGCTCGCTGCGGCGATCCCACCCAGCGCTAAACCGCAGTCACTCCGCGCCACCAAATGTCGGGAAACCCCGTAATTTGACACACTCCACCACACAGGGGTGATGACACACCCAGCCCCCAAAACTAGACGTAAGATCCCCCCACGTGATGATAACAGCACGGCGAGCATTGTGCACACGCACAGTTTGGGTCGGCCCACGATCGGCCATAGGAACTGCGCAGGCGCCACGTAACAGCAGTACACACACTCGACACGCCCCGGGCGGCAACGAGGCGATGCACCATGGAAACACCACCCCTACGCCGCCCGAACCGACGCCACCACCACGCTCCACACCGTTGGCACCTGCGGCTGTTCGCACACACGAAACTCCACGATATGCGATCTAACGACACGACGCACCCGCACCGCACAATCCCAGACACGACAGTGTGACGCTGACCCTGTATAGAAGTGCCCGGACACATAATAGGGGGGAAACGCCTCAGCGGCCCGCCGGATTCGCGCCTTCTTGGCCACACGCGAAGCGAGCTCGTTCACAGCGGTCAGGCATTGCGGCCCACACACAATGCTGACAGGTCCGTATCACACGAAACATCTAGTCGGAACGCCAGGATACGGGTCATCCAGTCCACGACGAGATAGCGTGCACCCCAACCACACATATACCAGACAGCCGGGGACACCACAATACTGAGATCTGCACTGGCATCGTCGCGAGATCGCTCCACCACGCCCACAAATCCACCCGGCAACGAAATCTACGCACTACCACCGCACTGCCCCACACACCGGCGCATTACCATGACCCGAAAGCGAATGCCACCAGAAAATAACCACTCAACAAGCTCCACCACCACCCGTGGGGGACTCCGGCTCCACCGGATGACCCACTACCAACCGCCACACGCGAGCGGCGAATTTGGGTGCCAGTCACTTGGCGGACCCGCCATTGAACCGACGCCAACACATCCAGCCTTCCACGGAACACATCACCAACCTGAAGAACAAGCGGTAACAATGTGGACGTAGCGCGGCACCACGCTAACGCCGACATAAATAGTCGGGCATTGATTCGCCGCCAATCCACCAAACTCCTGACAAGGAGGGCACGCAAACAACAACGAGGCAAATAAACGAGGTTCCAACCCTAGCTAACTCCACGGCATGTCCCCACTCCTAACCGCTAGTGCCCTCGGACGTCCCCACAGGACATTCAGAGCGAGTCACCACGCCCACACGGAAGCAGGTCGGCGAGGAAACCACCTGGGCCCGGGATCCCACCCCAGCACGCCAATCCACCACACCAATCGGGCGGACGCCACGTACCACGGGCCTGGGCCAGCGGATGCACGCCACGTCATCCACGGAGGACGTCCGGCGACCTCGTGGTGGATACAACCACATCGCAAATGGGAGCCCGCTGCGATAACCACTGTGGCGGCACCGGGCACCACCGACGGGTATCTTCACCTTACGTACGGGCCGCGGGACGCCGGCTAGGAAGACACTTGACCGCGCCAAACAGCTGGCGACGGGAGTCACGGCCGCCCGGGAGGCGCTACCACCAGGCTGTAATTGGTGACACAGGAACGGGGGGGGGGGCAACCTGCCACATGGTCCCCCCCAAGGGTATACCACGTAACCTTTCCAACGGTGTGCCGCCACGGCTTTTCCACGGGTAGCTCACGTCCCCCCCCCCCCCACGCACTCCACGACCCCCGGTTCGTAAGAATACCGCCAATGACACCAACGTTCCACGACGGGCGGGGTCTCGACCCACCCACACGGCAGCCACGGCTGCACCGCGGGGCGAGCCAGGCGGAGTCCACCCTCGTCCCACGAGGTCACTGCGGGAGTAACGACCGTCAGCTTCCACGTACCCCTCAGACACAGCACGACAACCGGTCCACACCGCTCGGTACCACCCACTGCCTTCTGTTGTCTCGCGGCCGTCCTCCAACATACCCGCCAGCAGCGGGTTAACACCCTAATTGAGTATACCACATAGCACGGTGAGACACAATAGATCCTACGCCTCCCCAACCAACCAACTTAAGCCGCACCCCACGACGGGTTGGTAGTTCGGTCCCCACGCGTTCGATGACGACGGGATGCGCCACCGGAGCCGGTGGGGGGAACAAAGGCCACGGGACAAAACGTGCAGTACCACTGAGGCAGCTAGGCCGGGCCGGGACACGCCTGCCACGCTTTGGCTCGGGCTTGACCACAGACCCCGCCAACACAGACCCCAGGGTCATGCTGGTAAGTTGCACAGGTCCCGACACACACGCCGGCGTCCAAAACTGGAGCGGAACCACACGGTACTGGGGTCCATTCCAGGTCCACGAAAAGAGACTGTCGGACATCTCCCAGACGGGCGTCGGGCCGACGGTGAGAGCCATCCCACCAGGAAGCGAAACGGGTGCGGGTGAAAAACCACCGGTGCCATATGGTGGGGGGAGCGGTCAGGACCAACGACCCATCACGCACGGAGCCACCGCTGATCCCAGAGGACCGGGCGCCTGGCAAGCACTGGGCACTATCCATCCACGATCCAAAATGGGAACTTGCCCACGGACACCCCACCATGTGGCGACACCCACTTCGGCGCACGCTTCCGATCGCCTAGGCGGCGAGGCATGTGGGGGGCAACCCCGCACTAGGGCCCACGCCACCCCACCAAACAGCACACGGGAGCCCAACACCCACCCCACCCCCGGCAGCGCACAGAGCAGGGCCCACCTCCACGGGCACGCATCCAACGCGCATGCGGTCAACTTGCAACCCATATTCCAACGATGGAGATGTTGGCATCCACGCACGGTGCACACCAACTATCCACCGTTGTCAGCAGGGTGGCGACATGAGGCCACGGGAGCCGCCGTAAGAGGCAAGATGCCATTGAGACCAGGGGATACCCACGTGCGGGGCCGCCGCCCGAACCCCTTCCCCACCACGACGGGCCCCAGTACGGCCTCCGGCACGGGAACCACACACAACGAGGGGCCCACAGACCACGGGGACACAAGCCACGGACGTGGGGCGTGCGGTGCCACCTACGATTTATCGGTGCCCCGGTAGCACAGACCAGGCGCCAATACACGGGTACGGGAGGCACCTACAAGGACTCCCCGGGGGGGCCGCCCTGAGGACGAGCCACCGTCGATGGAACCGCCACACGCGCCACCCCACCACCACACGGTAGAGGGGGGCCGGGACGGCCCCCACAGACTGGGCAACAACGCGTTCCACACCCCATCGGGTGGAAGGGGCGGAGGGGTACCACCAGGCCAGTCGCGGGATTCGCGAGCGCGCGCAGCCCGCACCCGTCCACGTGCGCAGAAGGCGTCGGGAGACAACACGTGCAGCCCACTGAGGGCGAGGTCACGGGCGGTGCCGCCATTCCAACCGCCACCCCGGTCACAACGACACGGCACATCGGCCAGCCAATCCACAGCACACACCCGGGCCCGGTCCCCCGTCCACTACCATCCCAGCCACATTCGCGGTAGCAGCCACACGCTTCCGCCGGAGTGGAGGCATTCCACCGGCGTCGGGCGCGGACACATTACCACGTCCACGGGTGCGGCAACCGAGGGGGGGCCCCCAATCCACCCGCCAGCAGCACCCACCGCCCATATATCCAACACCACACACCGGGAACTGTCCACCAGCAGCACCCGGCACACCGGGCGCGTTCGGGCTCCCCAAACAGTCAACGAGCCCGAGCCTATAATGTCAGTTGCCTATTTTACCACCGTCCGCGACCCACCCACCACGCGGGGGACGGGGCAGGGGGGCGGCGTGCACGCCACTCCGTCACTTCCACCCCGGCCCACAGGCGCGACGCTTTCCAAGACTCCACCTGGCTAGAGGGGAAGGCTAGACCGGAGGGGTCAACAGGGCCACGAGACGACGCCCTCACGCAATCTCCAGCGCCAGTAGACACGACCACACGTGGCCCAACTTTCACGGCCACGACCACCACCCCGTTTCCATCCACAAGGCCCATTGCGTCACTTGGGTAATCCAACTGGCGTGCCCGGCCGGCGCCCAATAGGCGTCCAAACTGTAACCTACCACTTGATCACGAATACACGCAACACCAAGCAGAACACCGTGGTCAAGCAGCCGGCCTGGGCCCAGCGCACGAGTGGCTCGCCACGTAGAGGGGCGGCCCTGGTCGATGGGTATTAGGGAGGGAACCGGGATTCCCCATCCCAACTGACAGTGTACCCACCCCCCCGGGACCCACGGCGCGAAGGGCCAGGTCGATGCAGCACCCCACCAACCCAGCCGATCCACAAGCGATGTGAACCGACAAGTGGATGTTCCCCCGGGTGGCCGCTTAACTGCCCACCACGTGGCTTGCTGATACTGCCCCCAGACCCACTGTGATGGTGTCGAGGGATCCATCACGGGTCGGGCACGACCCACGCTGCTGCTGTCGGAGAAAATAATAACATGTCATTCGTTTGAAATACTTGTGCCTAAAGATGTTCCGGTAATAGTTTCACCCGCCCCCACGTAACCCTTGCCCCTGCTATCCAATGCTTTGCACCTCCGGTACAATGTATTGTTTGTCCACATATGGCTTTGGAGAATCACTCTGCATCCGGATGGTGTATATCATCGTTCCGCCAATACTGGTCAGCGTCCACGTAACCTTCGCCGCCGCTACCTACTCCCTTGCACCTCCGGTAAGTGTATTGGCTGTTCACCTGTGGCTTTTTGAACTGCTGTGTGTTCGTGTCACCTATATCGGTGTAACGACACTATTTCCCAGCCTCAACCTAACCTTTGCCCTTGACAATATACTCCGTTCCGCCTCCGGTAAGTGTATTGGCTCTTATCAAGTGGCTTTAAAGCTGATGTCTTACCGTGCTACTTATATGGGTTATCCGTGTCTTCTGTTCAGCCCCCACGTAACCTACGCCGCCGCATATATTCTCCGTAGCGCCTCCGGTCAGTGTCTCCGCTGTTCACATGTTTCATTTTGAACTGCTGTGTATGCTTGCCACCTATACGGGAGTTGCAACACTATTGCTCAGCCTCCACGAAACCTCTCTTTTAGCACCCCTGTCTAGTTGTGGTGCCCACTTCAGTGGTCCGCCAATGCTGGTCGGCCTCCTCCACGGAACACTGGGACAACAGCATGCCTATCTTTCGTACGACACTTTCGGTTTGTGGTATTATGCGTGCCTACACCCTGACACTTTTAGACAACGCGCGGCATCAAGCCGTATTCGAAAAGCATGATTGCACTGACCGTTACACGACGCTTGCAGACTGATGCGGAATGTGCCGCATGCGCCCTAAGACAACACCGTGCGTAATTTTACGCACCACGTGTTTATGCTTGAAACAAATTTTTATGAAAACAATATAACACGATTGTAACTGACCTACACGAGTGTCTTTTGTCACCTCCCATGTTACGGTCTTAATCATTGATATCTGACCTGTCACAGGTGGTCCTCTTGTGAAGGCTGACGAAGGCCATTTCTCAGTGCTGACCCTATGCTGGGTAGCGAGCTGTAAAACACGCGACACTCAATTGTGTGGTACGGCACTGTTTTCTGATGGTTCAAACGTCCGACATCCTTTGTTCAGCAGTCCGGTTTCCCAAATGGTCCATGAACCATTTACAATCTGCACCGTTGCGTACCCTCTGCGCACCTTGTCATGTCTCCAGCGGCACTCGCGCCTCAGCCCACATCCGGCCACGGCAAGTGACGCATCAATGAATATCATACAAGTCCCCAGGTACCATTGCCATGCGATGATCACATCTCATTCAAGAGCCGAAGTGATAATATGGCCAGCCGTTTGACACTAGTACATAACTCCAGCCACTGTGCCTACTCTACACGGTACATGCCAACCACGAGCAGGTGAAACATCGTTGGAATTAAAGGACACCGGTAACATAAACACTCCCCCTGTATTCACTTTCTCATTTCAGGAGTCACAGCTATATGCGCCATATGCACACTTCGTCCCCTAACACTTAACCGCTGCCGCTGCGTCCCCTCCAACCTACAGCCTCCAAAGATTGCGACGTAAGCTCTGTGAAACCTAGAGTACAGGTTATCGCTTGTCACTTTCATTAAAAGACCAGCCCTTATTCACAGCCAAAATTAACATGGCGCCTGGCACGTACAAGCGCAACCCTGCCACCTGTCAATTTTCATACGTATTCAAACACCACAGCCACTTGAGCCTTCATCAGTAATACATGTACAAAAGTAAGGTTGCATTTCAATGGTGAAGTCCATTGCATAGCCAAAGCCACTTGCTAAGAGCCAATACACTTACCGGAGGCGGAACGGAGTATATTGTCAAGGGCAAAGGTTAGGTTGAGGCTGGGAAATAGTGTCGTTACACCGATATAGGTGACACGAACACACAGCAGTTCAAAAAGCCACAGGTGAACAGCCAATACACTTACCGGAGGTGCAAGGGAGTAGGTAGCGGCGGCGAAGGTTACGTGGACGCTGACCAGTATTGGCGGAACGATGATATACACCATCCGGATGCAGAGTGATTCTCAAAGCCATATGTGGACAAACAATACATGTACCGGAGGTGCAAAGCATTGGATAGCAGGGGCAATGGTTACGTGGGGGCGGTGAACTATTACCGGAACATCTTTAGGCACAAGTATTTCAAACGAAATGCATGCACCGACAGCGTGGAACACAAAAGGCTGTTAACAGCAACCCAGTGAACCGATCCCACAGCCTTGAATGATTCCCACCGCAGCATCACCAGTTATTTCCGCAGCGGAGTCTCCGGAGGTGCGCAACCAATAACGAGGACAACCTTGCACTATTATAGCAACAACACCTTGAGTCATTGATGCTAGCTTCGGATAGACAGTGGGCGCCGAAATAACTCTTGGCATCTTCCTGTAGATGGCCACCGATAGACCCAACCAAAACCAAACCAGAAGGGTGGGTCTTCCTTCATCTGGAGCAAGTTATCGCTGTGCCACCCATCATCTTGGTCAATGCAAACGCCGTGTGCGTAAAAAAAGGGGCGGCGTGGGAGTCGTTAGGCGGGCACGCGAAACGCGCGGCCGAGCCATCGCAGCATGGTGCGCGAAACGACGGTGCAGAGCGGTGCAGTTCCTTTTCCTGTGCCAAAAACAACGCGTCGCACATGCTCGTTACTCACGCCGTATTCCCACCAGATGTGAGCCAAATTGGGAAGACACCGATGGTCGAACATAACTAGCCTCTTTATATCTCCTGATCTAGGGGACCAGGTTTCTCAACCGTCCATTTCTGTCAACAACTCTTGCAATCCACCAATCTTTATGCGCCTGTCTATCACAGTGTGTACAAGTCCAACTGCGGAGACCGTCACAGAGTGAGCGCAATCCACCGTCGGTACATGAGTGTTATGAGGGTCAGTCACGTCTTCCGCACAATTAACGGCCACCTCGAAAAACGACCGGGTGGCCTGACTACCCCTCACAAGGTGCTGCTTCAGGCCGTTCAGTGCAGGCCAGTCGATCTCTGAACGGGTGTTTCAAGAGACAGTACAAGTGTTTAAGCCCTATCCGCATGACGTATGCGGTCTGTGTACAGGTTGCACGGTAAGTACAAGCCATCTGCGAACGTGTAACGTTCACGCGTACTGATTGCAAGGGAAATCCCAACGGAAATTTTTACGTGGCAGCACTCAATTTGCCGTCATTCGAAGCTCTAACGAACCGCAACGTTACCCATCTCAAATTTAACTTCCCCGCTGCAGTGCATACATGCGTATGCCGGCTCACCGTGGTACCCCGCACAACTCTGATGGAACCACCGTACGCATACGTCGCAACTCATGCAATGCAATTGCTTGCAGCTCCCGGAGTCATCATTCTCTTTCTGACACGGAGCGCAAAACGCAGATTCACCAGCCGTCGGCCTCCCTGTGCGCCATGTGTTTGTGCGGCGACTTGCTGAAGTTCTTCTTTATAGGGTGCGGAATTTAATTGCCGTGATATCATGCTAGGACCCACAATCACCACCACGAGGGGTTTAAAACGTGACTTCCGTTTATGTCGCCTACAACCACTGTCAATGCCCATTGGAGCACCATGACTGGAACCATAGGAAAATCCTGTGAGTGTTCCTTCTTGAGCGGATAGCTGAACGAGGAATTGATGGGTTGTTGGATGGTTGGTAGATCTAGAACGATACACCCGAAGTACACCCTGGTCCAACAATTACTGCCACATTCCCTGCACTGGCATAGCACACCGTGTAGTTCACGTGGAGTAAGAAATAATTGGAAAGTAATCGGAAGATAATGGGGAATGATAGTCATTTAAATGAAGGATAACACAAATGAGTGAGGAGCATGACAGAGCACGAACTAAAGGTTGGAAGACGGATATGTCAGTGTAGGGGAATGATTTCGTATTACCAGCAAAGGTCGTCTAATTGAGGATCGAAACTCTTAACTGTAGGCTCACTGCCTAAACTTTCTGGAAGCAAGTTCCAGCGCTCGATAAATTTAAGCGTTAACCGAGTTTCCGCCATAATCCTGTCGGAAGGCGATTTGTGTAGGTTCATGTGATGACCGCGTAGACAAGTCAATCTAACCGGGCTAAATGGCCAGCTCAAGTAGGGTCCAACCCTTTCTGACAAACTACTGTGAAGAGCACCACAAATATGTCGGCAGTTAGGACCAAGAAAGAACGGCGTATTAACCACAGCATTCTGATACCCCTAATAGCAGCGTTCTTCCGGTTGTCACCAGAATGTAAAGATGAGGAATGGACGACGCCTAAGTCTACCTGGTTGGAGGCAAGGGGAGTTCGACCAAAACGAGTACGTTTCTCGAAGGCGACACACTTGCTTCTATACGAAGGA